GATTGGAAATTACTCTGCAAGAAAATAATAGGAAGAGGTTTTGCCTTCAAACATCTGGAGGACTGTAATTAAATGTACTAGGTTTAATATTGAAAGGTAAATAATTTGGGTTTTTGCCTCCCTGAATATAACAACTGTAAAGTTACTGAAAGACTAATTGAAGAAATTTAATTAATGTCATTTCCAGCTTAAAATTGAATTGCCATGGTCTAGAGCAAAGAATACCCTTACATGATATTATTCTACAATGTACATTTATCCCAAACAAACTTACAAACTAATTCTTTGAATGTTTGGCAGCAATTTAATAAGGACATGAAAGGATTTAATCCCACTGTGTGGAAGGCCCCCTGGGAAGGCACTTGAGCATTCTATATTGACCTCTCTTGCCCTTTTTGCCAAGAGGGTCCCTCTTCTCACAATCCAATTGCCTTCAGCTGTTGCCTGAGCTCTCTGTTCATGCTGAGGTTGAAGGCGTGAGCTGGGCCCTCCCTGAAGAACCTGGGTTCCCTAAGATCAATCAGTTACGGGGCATGGAGGCCACAGGGGCATAGGTTACCAAGGAGACAAAACTGAACCTCACATCACCCTGCTTGGCCCTGGAGGATGGCTGGTTAGCCAGAGACGGGTAAGATTCCTCAGGGAAGGAACAACCTAAGACAGGCACAGTCGCAGAGGGGCCATCAGGAGAGAACTTGGGGGTCAACAGAGGTGAGGCACAGATCCTCACCCCCCCAACTATGCAGGGGCTTGAACACTCGCCCCTTCTGAAGGAGGTCTCCTGCCCCCATGGCTGCTTCCCGCTTCCCATGCCCAGCTCAGATCCAGACCCAGATAACAGAAAGAGACTTGGCCCAGCTCAGATCTGGACTCAAACAACAGAGACTTGGCTGACAGCAGCTACCCTATATCTAAATCCAGCCTAACACCAGGAACCCTCAGGACCTTCCCAAGGATGCAAAATAATCCTTTCCATTAATATTTACAGTGTAAACTAAGATTGTTGTTAGAGTATTAAATTTGACAAAAAAAAAAAATTTGACAGTAAAATAGTAGTCAAGTTTTCAGACTAGTTAAAATTGGCTCAAGAAGTATTAATGAAAATTTTCATTTCATGATAAAATCACTTTACATGCAATGAACCTAAAGCAGTCATATTTTTGTGTAAAAAATTAAAATTTAAAGTTATCTAGACTGCATTATAAAAATTTTCCAAAAATCTCCTAATAATTAAATCAAAAAAGGGGGGATAGTGGAATAATACCATGTAAGGGAAAATATCCTGTAACTAAATTACATCTAGAAAAAAAATTTTTCATTTGTAATGCTAACAGCAAGACACCCATGAAAAACATACGTGCTGTCAAAATAAGCCAAAGGAAAATCATTTGAGCAAATATAAAAAGGACCCCAAGTAAAATTTCCTTTATTAACCTTTGGTCGAGAATACGTTTGTATATTTTCAGAAAACAACTCCAAGACCATGTGGATTCCTGCAACAGAGAGGAATTATCAGGAATGCTCCAGCCATGAGGACAAGAGAAAAACAATCCAGAGATGGAAGACGCTGACGACGCTTTGCCATGCTAGCAGTCAAGCAGCTGTGCGTCGCTGCAGTTTGCCCAGAATCAAACCAGAGAAGGTCGGACCTGCATTGCCACCATTTGTCCACCATCCAGAACTGAAATATCATTGCTGACATATACACATAAGGAACTGTCAGACATTGAAACTTGGACTCAGAACTGTTGGACATTGAATTTGGGACTTAAACAATTTTGTTCTTATATGTTTATTTCTGGTCTACAAATACAAGATTTTTAAGGAAAAAAGAAGGGGGAGATGTGGAAAACCACCTATTGTCTTCACTAGCAGAGAGGTGTAGACAAAGAACCCGGAAGGCTGGTGACCTTTAAAACCCTAGCAAAGGTCAGAGCTGTGCACCACCTCTGTTAATCCAGATAATGGTAGCTGAAGCAACCTCCCCACCTTTAATCATGTAAATCCTTATTGATAAGAATAGTCTATGTGTCACTGGAACATCCCTGCCTAAGGGCTATACTATGGGTGGATCCCAAACCAAATAAAAGCTTGGTGAGGCCTGAGCACCAGTGGAAGTCTTTCCTCTTGAGTTGGACTTACCTGCCTAGCCCCCATTATTTCCAAATTATCTCTTGTCTTTTCTCTTTCATTTGTGTTCGGCTCCTCTTCCAGATCCTGAACCCTGAACCACGTGGGACATGTAGGGAAACATTTACCACACTCTCCCTCTCCCTTCCTCTCTGAAATCAATAAAAATATATTTAAAAAAGAAAAAGAAATTTTCTTCCCCTACCTGGATAGAGAAATACACTTACAAGTCCAGGAAACAGAGTCCCAAACAAGAGAAACACAAAGAGGCCCACACCAAGACACATCATATTTAAAATGCCAACGGTTAAAGACCAAGAGAGAATCTTAAAAGCAGCAAGAGAAAAAGCAGTTACCTATAAGGGAGCGCCCATACGGCTGTCAGAAACTTTGCAGGCCAGAAAGAAGTGGCAAGAAATATTCAAAGTGATGAAAAGCAAGGACCTACAACCAGTATTACTCTACCCAGTAAAGCTCTCATTTAGATTGAAGGTCAGTTAAAGAGCTTCCCGGACAAGGAAAAGTTAAAGTTCATCACCACCAAACTAGTATTACATGAAATGTTGAAGGGTCTTCCTTAAGAGGAAGAAAAGGAAGAAGAAAAAGATTAAAAATATGAATAAAATGGCAATAAATATATATCTATCAACAAATAAATCTAAAAATCTATAAAATAAACGAACAAGGAATCAAATGAACAAAATAAACTGATGAATAAAACAGAATCAGAGGCAAGGAAGGGTGGGGGGAGAGATTAACCAAAGAACTTTATATGCATACTAGTAACCCATCGCGCGATATCCGTGCAGTAGGCCACCCGCCGCTTCCGCCAGCGTTCACAGGCGCCTGGAGGGAGCCGCACCGCTTCCGCGGAAGCCAGGAGGGACCCGCGCCGCTTCCCTGGGAGGCAGGAGGGAGCCAGGCTGCTTCTGCTTCCGCAGGAGGCGGGCCGCTGTCTCCCCTCCAGGCCTGCCTCGGAGGCTGCAGGTTGGCCCCCTGTCCCTGTCTGCTCCAGGTCCAGGGGTGCAGCCCAAGCCAGGGCACGGTGGCTCGCTGGCCCCGTCTCTGTTCCGGTCTCCCCTCCAGGCCTCACCTGTGCACGCAACCTCCTCCTGTCTGGTCCTCACCCGGCATCCTGGCCTAATTTGCAAATTTTTTTTATATATATTTATATTTATATTTATTTATATATATTTTATATATTTATATTTATATATAGAATAGATATGCATTACCAATTGACACAGAGAGTAGGGTGGTGAACACCTGGGGCAGGGTGGGAGCCATGTGGAGGGGGGAAAAGGAGGACATCTGTAATATTCTCAATAAAAAAGACTTAAAATAAATTTAAAAAACATTAACTCAAAATGGATTAAAAATCTAAACATAAGATCCAAAAGTATTAATACCTAGAAGAAAACATAGGGAAAAATTTCAAGCCTAATCATTGTATCAGGCAATGATTCTTGGATGTGGATAACAAAAAATAAATGAATGGGACTACATCAAATTTTAAAACTTCTGTGCTCAAAGGACACACCAATGGAGTAAAAAGTCAACCTATGGAATGGGATAAAATATTTGTACATTGCATATCTGATAAAGAGTTAATATCTAAAATATATAAAGAATTCCTACAACCTGACAACAAAAAATAACCTGATTAAAAAATGGGCAAAGGACATGAATAGACAATTTCACCAAAGATGATTTACAAATGGCAAACAAGTATATGAAAAGATGTTCAAAACCACTGACCATTAGAGAAATGCAAATCACAGCCACAGTGAGATACCAGTGCACACCCATTAAGGAGATGACTATTTAGGGGGGAAAAAAGTGGCTATTATCAAGGGGAAAAAATAACAAATGTTTGCAAGGATATAAAGAAATCAGAACCCTTGTACACTGTTGTAGGAATGTAAAATGGTGCATCCATTATAGAAAACTGTATGGCGTATCCTAAAAAATTAAAAATAGAATTATCATATGACCCAACAACCCCACTTTTCAGTATATATCCAAAAGAATTAAAGCAGGGTCTTTTGCCCGGCTGGCATGGCTCAGTGGTTGAATGCTAACTTATGTACCAAGAGATCATGGTATGATTCCCTGTCGGGGCACATGTCTGGGTTGTGGGCTTGATCCCCAGTGGGGGCATGCAGGAGGCAGATGATCAGTGATTCTCTCTCATCATTGAGGTTTCTCTCTCTCTCTCTCTCTCTCCCCCTTCATCTCTAAAATCAATAAAAATGTATTTTTTAAAAAGCAAGGTCTTTTAATTAACAGATATTTGCATATTCACATTCATAACAGCATTATTCACAAGAGCCAAGAGGCAGAAGCACTCCAAGTGTCCACAGACAGATGAATGGATAAGCAAATGTGCTATACACCCACAATGGAATATTACTCAGCATTAAAAAAGGAATTCTGAGACATACTACAACATGGATGACCTTGAGGACACTGTACTGACTGAACTAAACCAGTCACATAAAGACATATTGTAGTATTCTACTTATATGAGGTTATAGAAAGTAGTCAGATTAATAGAAACAGACATCGAATGGTCGTTACCAGTGCAGGATGGGGGGAATGGGGAGTGTTGATACACAGAGTTCTGGGTTTCAGTTCTGCAGGATGAAAGAGTTCTGCACAACACTAAATATTCTTTACTGAACTGTAAACTTTAAAATGGTTAAGATGGCAGATTTTATGTGTTTTATTCCACAATTATATATATATTTAAAATGATAAATTGAAAAACAAAATAAATTTTAGACTCAAGAACACACAAAGTTCTATAACTGTACTTACAAGAAAACCAAAATATAAAAAATATTTTAATTACTTATGTGTAAGCATACCCTCCAAACACCAAGAACTCATGTGAAGCTCGTCTGCCGGCAGGTCCCATTGGCATGTCATCTAAAGGAGAAAGAGAAGAAAAATGTGGTCAGTTCTGCTGTACTGGCTACTTAAATGTAAACTGTTCTACATGATTATTAGCATGGACGAAAAGGGGCCACATACTAAACCTGACAAGCCCAGGGGAGGCCTGCATGGCAGGACTTGCAAGCTCAGATCTAAAGGAACCACATAGAATGGTCTGAAATCAAAACTTCCTGACTACAAGTGAGTCATGGCCAGTAGCCCTGTAGTCGGCCGGCATCTTCCCTGACAGAGGTCAAGCTTTACCTTACCTGAACCTGCCTACTGTCTCTTTGCATCTAGGATAACATACCTTTGGATTGTCAGGGTAACCCTTTTTCCAGACCCTTCAGGGCACAACCTCCCACCAGAGCAGGAGCCCACAGAGCCCCTCATTGTTATCCTGCTCCCCACATACCATCTCCATGTGTGTAAATATTAACTGTTTACTATGCCCACCAATGGAAGGAAGCATGTGTCTCTAGGGATTACTAGTACTTTTTATCCAATCCCAGAGATTTCCTCATTTTGCTTTCTCCCGCCTCCCTAAGCCATCACCAGTGGATCTCATATAATTCCCTTTCACCTTCTACTTTGGTTCTAATGTGTAAAATAAGGAGCAAAGCTGCTGTTCTCTGGAGCATTTTCTCAATCCACTGAGGTTTTGCTTCCTCAGTGGATTTGACAACAGTTTGGCTCAAATAAACTCATAAAAATTCTCTACAGGTTTGGATGTTTCTTAGTTGACATTAGGAAACAATTTGAGTACAATCATTTGCCTACATGCAATTTCGTCCATGAGTAACAACAGGTGAACACAGAACACTGTAAGCAGCTGAATTCACAGGTTGCAAGCCTTTCAATTCCCACTTCTATAAGCAAATATCAGGTCTCATCAAGGTAAAGTGTCACATTTATTGTAGTTATGCATTTCTTCAACACTTAACACGTGAAAAAACTGTGCTGTTTTTTTTTTTAAACTGTGCTGTTTTATTGTGCTCCTTTTTATGTCACTGACAAAAGTTTTGAGTATTATATCCCTTAATCTCAATTTGCCCATAAACTCTGCTGTTTTTACTGAACTCTGCAGGTTCTGGTGATTTTTAGGAACATATATCACCTTCTAGACAACTGATGGTAAACAAAGTCTAGTTCACTCTCACACTGGAGCACCTCCGTCCTCCTGCATAATAAATACTCTCTTGGGTCTTGCATGGGTTGTTGAACAAGCTGTCATGGAAACTGGGGCCTCTCAGAGTCAGAAGCCTAACCTCGAGGCTTGGCTTCTCCACTGTGGCCGGACCAAAGGCCTGGGTCCCAGGTGCCAGAGGAAAACCAGGGCCGGCAGCCAGGGGAAGTAAGGCCTATTGCGCGAATCTTCGTGCAAAGGGCTTCTAGTCTATATAATAAAAGCCTTTCCACCATTACGGCAGAAAGACCAGAACAACTGGTCACTATGATGCACACTGACCACAAGGGGGCAGACGCTCAATGTAGGAGCTGCCCCCTAGGGTCAGTGTGCTCCCACAGTAGGAGCGCTGCTCAGCCAGAAGCCAGACTCACAACTGGCGAGTGCAGCAACTGAGCGCTAAGGAGCCAGCGGTCCCAGACTGCGAGAAGGATGTCCAAGTGGTCATGGACTGTGAGAGGGCGCAGGCCAGGCTGAGGGGCCCCCTTCACCCCCAGTGCATGAATTTCGTGCACCAGGCCTCTAGTAATTAATATGTATTCATGTGAAATCAATGTTGACCAAATAATATACATTTTTAAGAAAGTAAACTTTTCTGCTAACTGGTACTCAAAAAGGTAGAGGGGTCACAAAAACCCCTCTGACTCGCCCTGAAGGGGAACTGAGAAATCCATTTATTTGGCACATCTCAGTTCCCTGCTCTAAAGAAGATTCTATTCTAGTAGTGAAAGAGGGTGATCATGTCAGAAGTGGTAAGAGGTTTAAGGAAAATAAATTAGAATAAAAGAATAAAGACCAGTGGGCAAGGAAGCAGTTCTATTTTAAAGACAACAGTTGCCTATAGGGTAACAGAAGAAAAGAGTAGATGGGGCAGGGATAGAAGCTAGATTTCACTAAGTGTCCTTCATTTCGTAGCTTTGAGTTTGAAACCATACATAATTATGAAACAAAATTAAATTTAAAAAAAAGAACAATCCCTAGAAATCAAAAGTAGAATGTAGCAAGCAAAGGAACCTAACCATATATTAATTTGATAGCATAATCACCAAAATAGAGACAGACTAATAAGCCAGGACAAGCAGAATAGGGAAACTGAGACAAATAATTAAATAGCAGTTTGCAGTCACCTAGAAAATCTAGATGCCAAGCAGCTGACCGCCATCTAGTAAATCCTATCTTCCCTAAGCCAAGGACACTTGAGAGGCATAAATGGCTCACACTTCTCCTCCCCAACCAGAGGGCAATAGCTTAAATCACCCTACTCAGGGAGACAGAGCAGAAATCCAGTGAGTGCCATTTTCCAGCCACACCCAAGGACAAATGAAGAGACTAAATCTCATTTTGATACATCAGCATAAAGCTGATGACTATTTTATTGATCCTCCCCTAAAACCTCCCAGCCTTTAAAACCCCTCAAAACACAGGCCCTAGTATGCACTCTCCTTCCCAGGAGCACTCCCGCTCCCCTCTTGTTCCCCCACCAGCATGCACTTCCTAAACTCTATGGGACCCTACAAGGCTTTCGGCCAGGGCAGCCAATGGGGAGTGGCAGTTGGTCTCAGGCTACCCTCCCGAACCTGTCCCCAAAGCCCCCTTTTCTCTCACTTCTTAGTGAGCCCAAGCAGCCCGGCAGAGGCTCATTCCCCGCCCTTCCTTGTGTGAGGTCCCCAGCGCTAGCAAACGTCCTCTAACATTCACAGGGACTAGTGATGTGAAATCTTTCCTGCACCAAGCCAAGAACACACTCATGGGCAGCCGGCTCTAGGCAGACCCCTCAGGGCCAGGTCCCCTTTCCAATAACAAAATGAATTTTTCAAGAGACTGTAAACTTGGTGATTTAATTAGACATTCCTAATGGTAATATCCTAAGGACAAAAATACCCACAAAAAGTTTTTAAAATGTTTTTTAGTAATCATATTATTTTGATACCATGTTGTTATTTTGAAACTATAGGGGGAAAGGGAAGGAGAGATTAGAGCCTAAACTTACAAGGGCAAAAGACAGAAAAGTCAACAGCCACAAAAATTTGGAAGCTAAAAGTTGATGTAAGCAGTGTTTGACCTAGTAGGCCGAAAAAGCCCACAAGTACCATCTTATCAGATTCACAAGAGGCTGGTCAGTAGTAGTGCCGGATCCCCATATAGGAAAAGACTGGGACAGGGGGAAGCACAGGTCTCTGAGCCGCAGAACGCCAGGCAGAGGTGAAGGCAGCACGATACAGCGAGAAAGGGGGTTAGTAAGTGCCATCTCACACACTGACTACTGAGACCTGCAGCCTCTCCCCCGTTGGACTCCCCCACACGGCATCAGGTACAGACTCTTCAGGCAGAAGACGGGCCGAGTCTTCTCTGGGACCCGAGAAGCCGCTCACAAAGGAAGCTCTCCGAGGCAGTGACTCAGCCTTACCACCCGAGAGAGGCTTACTGTTCATAAGACCTGCAGAGCTTTCGAACTACGTTTTAATTTTCCATTCTTCATTATGAGCATATAACAATCACCAAATATCCCAGGAAAGAATCTAATATGAAGCCCAGACTCCAAAACAGGTAGGAAAAAAAAAAGAACTACAATATTTTTCAAGGAAAAGTTAAAATATATATATATAATTAATGACTTCAGAAATAAAACAAAATATTTCACCCTAAGGTAAGAACAATACTACTCAAAGGAGGAAAAAAGAGCTTCAGAAAATTCAAAATACGAGAGCATAAATGAAAAATGCAATAGAAGTGTTAGAAAAAAACATTAAGGAAATTTCCCTAAAAATGTAAGACCAAAAGATGGGAAATCAGATCCCTCCCCCCCCCCCCCCCCAAAAAAAGAGAAAGAAAATCAGAGAAGGGTATTCAGGTATCTGTTATCACTTTTAAATTGTACAGATGTTTTAAATATCTTATATGGGTTCTTCCCATATCTATTTTCCCATGTAAAGGGCTTAAAAGTCATCATTCCAACCTAACAAGTAAAAAGCTGAACAGACTGAAAAGTCAACAATTCTTGGATCCAAAAGAGAGGGGAGGACACAGGGCAAACCGATGCCCCCAAGATGAGTCAGACAGACAAGCCTAGGGAGCTCAGGCTTACCTGAGGAGAGAGACTCGCCAGCAGAAACCTCCCTGGAAATCAGGGCCAGGACAGGGAAGCTTGAACCTAATTGACAATTTGCTGGACACGCAGTGCAGACAACTCCAAGAGTTACAAACCCCAGAGGACCCAGTCAGAGGGAATCAAAGTATTGTCAGATTTAAGTCTAGGAGCTCCATCAGACTCCCACAGTGAATATCTGAGAAAGATCTCTTCTTGCTTCCAGGAGGGAAAGGGGAAAAGAAACATTTTTAAGTCAGAGCATTCCGAGATTATTAACAAGGCCTGCCCTTGGGGAAAACTATTAATCTGCTCAGGTTAAACTCAGAGCCAACTGCCCTGGGGGAGGGGAAATACTCAATGTCAGCCCCTCGGCCATCCTGTCCCACCTAAGGCAGGAGACTGGAAGACTGAACCTAACCACAGGCCCCTCCTCTCAAGCCCCACCACCACATCACTAAGGCCTCTTTACAGCAGTTCCTTTCCCCTATACATCAAGTGTAGCTATCAAGAAAAAATTACAAGGCATACCAAAAAGCAAAAAATAGTTTGAAGAAACAGACATGGCAGGGATCTTAAAGTTACCAGGCCAGGAATTTGCAACAACTGTAATTAATATGCTACGGATGTTACCCGGGAGATGAGACCTCGGTTGTTGTCTTCTTGAGGGAAAGATCTCAATCAAGAGACAACGTGCAGAAAAGCAAGCAAGAATGTATTGGC